AACTTGCCTCTTTCAGGAAGTATTTGGTACACCAGGGTGTCTCGGTCTCCGCGCGGAGCCTCTCCTCGTTCCTCTGCCGTTCCTCCAGGGCTCTCTTGTGCTCTGTCGCCTTATCGATGTCTCCATCCCGCAGAGACTCCGTTACGTGTTGCCACAGTCTCCTACAAAACAAATTCTTGGCTTCACTTTTCAGCAGTTTTCTCACCTTGCCAACTACGTAGCAGGATCATTGTGTGCAATTTTTTCAAAACGGTAAAAAACAGTAAATCTGTCCACCTTTTAATTCTTGTCTCATGTGACAGAAAAGATAAAATAAAATTACATAAGACAGCTCCCGATGGTGCAATGCAGGTGGAAGGGCTTGTGGCTGAGCCTTGCACCTTTGCTAGGAATTAGGGGCAGATTTACGTGGTTCTGAGGCTCAGGCTGTACCCATCTCTGTCCCTTTGTGCACACTTTACAGTTGCCATGGAAGTAGTATTCAAAAAGCAGCCTTTGTGAGGATCAACCTTGCCAGGAGATACTGAGTTGTGCAGCTGAAGGTCAAGAAAAAAAATAAATAGGTTCTGTTCCAGCAGGAGCTTTACCAACTCTCCATTGAGAAAATACATTGGTGACTGAACACTTCCCTGCATGTACTTAGCCTCCATCGCTATTAGACACTTTAAAAAAGACAAGGACATTTACACATTATTGATGAAGGACAACCAGGTGTCTTCGTGAGTTTTTCAAGGTATTCACCAGAAGGCTCACAGCAAAATCCTGCATCCTTTCCCAAAGCAAACCGTGCCAGTATGTATTTTACCTGGATTCGAACGGTCCTTGCTTCTCCAGGGGCCGCACTCGCTTCCTCGTCACCGCCAGCTTGGTCAGGTCCACGCACTTGGTGTCGCCGCTGCTGTAGGTGAACTCGAGCACGCTGTTCCACTCGCCCTGCACCCGGCACACCACCGTGTTCGTCGCGTTCTGCTTCACCTCCCCGGTGACCCTAGCAAAATACTGTTTTATTTCTAAAACATCAAGACTAAAGACACCTTGGGTCTACTCCATGGTCACCCTGAAAGAGTTTGCAAACTTGTCACGCAGTCTTTAGAGGCATTAGCTACTTAAATGGCATTTGCGCACAGAAGCTGAAAGAGGAAAATGACTTTCCCTCATTGCACTAATTCTTTTCATACAGCTAGTTTTTATGTTTAAACTTTGCTTTTAAAATATACCTCACTACCTGCTGGCACTTGAC